GTTGTAATTGCATATAAAACACCGTTTCAAATCCTAATAAAAGCTTTCAGGCCAAAGAGGTCTCCTTAACTCAAAAATATATATATATATATGTAATTTGAATATAAATTTATATTATTTTACTGTATATACTCTGAAGCAAAGCAAGGCTTAATTGCTAGATTTAAATATTATTGTTAAAATTAAGATATATGTAGTAATAGGTAGGTGCGATATGATATATGCGTCAGAGTAATAGTTGAACAAGAGAATTTTTGTACAAAATAAGAATATTTTCTGATATATAGTACGTATCTGGTATTAGGTATGAATATCAATATATTAATATACGCAACCATTGGTGTATGCAGCTGTGATTGGCCAAAATTGATGTACACAGTTGTGATTGGCCAAATGTATAACGATAAGAGTATTAAAGAAAAAAAAAAAATCTATTTTCTGTTTGAATTGTTATATGCTTAAATAACTTTTAGAAAGTTTAGTTTCAACTCTTTTTTTCAAGTTTTTTTCAGGTCACTTTTTTCAAATCCTTCATCTTTTACAGATCACTTTATTCTCTTCATTTTAGATTACTTCTTTTTTAGATCATATTTCTTTAGATTGCTTCAGTCTTCTATTTTTTTTATAGGTCATTTTATTGTTTCATTCATTTTCTTATTTTATCTTTTTTCATATCGCTTCATTTTTTTCTTTTCAGAGTGTTCTTTTTTTTTACATCACTTGATTTTTGTTTTTGTTTTTTTTTTTTTTTAAAAGAAAATCATTCATTTTCATATTGTTTTCAGATTGCCATTATAAATTCATTATAGAAGTTAATGTTCTAAAAGGATGTACTTTCAATACGTTTGATAAAGTTCGTGCAGCTATTGAAGGATATGCTGCAGAAACTAGCACAAATTTGATTTTAGAAAAAACGACAAAATTTCCAGACGGCAGTGGTTATAGGCAGGCATACATTTTCTGTGAAAAACAGGGAAAATATGGTGGAAAAAAACAACAATATACCACTAAACGCACTGGCTGTCCTTTTGTTATTGGTGTGAATTATCATAAACGCAGCAAGAAATTTGTAATAAAAAAATCCTATCTAAAACATAATCACAACATAGATACTACTAAATTCAGTATAGTTGCATGCAAATTCAATCAAAATAGTCTTGGTTTTACTGAGAAGCTTCATAATGATGGGCTCCGTGGCCAGCCTCCTAATAACAAACATATTCATAGAGCTAAAAGAAATGAAGACAATGCTGTGTGTTCGAAAAAGACTAAGGCTATGCAAAAATTGAACAAAAATGATGAAATATCACATATGTCTAGTACAAATAATACAAATATTGATCTACATGTTCCACAAAATGTAATATTACTGATTCATGACCCAAAAAGTGATGGTAATTGTGGGTTTCGATCATTAGCCATAGCAATTTTTGGAGATGAAGAACGTTGGCGAGAAATTAAGACTAAAATGATATTTCACTTGAATAAGTAACATGATCTTTATAAAAAATTAGGATATGATGCCAGTTGATTAAAAGAAGTTTTATCTTATACGGATTTGGGAATTGTTTTACAAAAATACTGGTTTTATTCGCCAGAATGTACGCAGCTAGCATCAAACACATTCAATGTACCAGTCATAGTATTGGCTGCTAAAAGCTATTCCTTCATGCCACTTAACCAAGAGCAGTATGGTGGACAAACCTGAATTTGGATGATCGACATTGTGGCTTAGCCAATTTAATAAAAAAATTTTTTTTAACTTTTTATACAGTTTAAAGTA